GGCTGCCATTCATACAATTAATAATAGTCGCATTTCCTGCCAATTTTAATACGAAATGGAAGTCTACAAATTAGTTAGGTTTACAAAAATAAGCTCAACACCTTGATCCGACTTGTGTATTATGTATTACGCTCATTTAAAAGTTCTTGAAGTTGTCGCTCTTACTTTCAAACATTTACACACACACACACACACACACATACACATACACACGTAAAAGAAGATGAGCACATGCTTATGAATTGAAATACAACATAGACCAACTAAATTGCTCTGTTTCGCATACAATGCATAAGTTTAGATAGTATCCACATCGTATCTATTGCTAAGACATTTAATTTTTTTACCTTTAGCTTGACATTTCCTTGAAATATCATCGAGGCTATTACGTTTTATCAATATTTACGCACAGTCGCGATGTCAGTTTTATCAGGACCGAAAAGACAGTCTCGGGTAACTGTTTAACGTCGAAACCCGGGCGAATGCAAAGTCATGCATTCGAATCTGCGTTCACGAGTCCTGTGAAGTGAGACACGTTTGAAACGCTTTATTATTTAGTTATTAGTAGACCTTTAAAACTTAAAGATGATGAGCTTTATATTACAATGCATTCATCATAAAATAGTTTACTCCACATTTGAGGGAGCTGAGCAACTGTCATTCAGGATAGTCCTCGAAAACTATTTTTCTCATTTGTCTATCATCGAAGCCAACTAGTCAAATGGTGATTCCTACATGGCGTAAAGATACCATATACCCATCAAATTTTGCAAATCATGTCATATGTCACCTTAGAAACAGGAAAGTATGCCCGCTTGTGTGTGCATACATGCGTATGTGCGCTCATATTTGCATTCATGTGGCTTCTGATGGGGTCTACCTTCGAATCCCGCCATCACACACACTTTCACTCGTCCCGAGAGTGAGCCCATACAACGTGTGGCCAGACATTATAGACAATGTGGCCAAGTGGTATCTAGTTTCTAGCAGCCTGAACTCGATGCACGGAAACTGCTGACTGTACACAACTTTCGAGTCCACTTGCTCCACTTCGTCCAGTTCCGACAAGTTGGCTAGTGCTGCCGTCGCCTCGAGACGCCTCAACTTGCATCATCAGTTTGGCTGGCAACCGAATGGAGAATGTGTGCAGACATGCGTACAACAAACCAATTAATGCAAGCTTGAGAATTAGTCACCTGAGGCCCATCGGCAGAGAATGAGGTAGATTTCTGACGTTCTATGCTCGGCGGCGACGATTTGTCCCTCGACTGACTCGGCTGCCGCATCGGTTTTATCTGGTCTCGTAGAAAAAGACATTAAAGCAACTTTTAGACAAATATTTCATCCAGAGAAAAGTGCAGAAAAAAAAGATAAATTCATTAAAGTAGCAAATCAAATTGACAAATCATTTATGTTCTTGAGAGCAGCCTTCAACAACAACAAAAATGATTTATTTAGTCACCAGGGCCAAAAATTTCAAATCAAATTTATCGCCGTGGTGACGACTCCATTTATAACATCGTTTTAGTAAATATGCTTAAATAATGATTTAAACGGAATCTTCAAGGTCAATTAAATCTTCTTTGCAAATACTGTCCGTAGGGCAGATCTGGCCAGATCTATCATACCTGCCCGACCAGCTTCCTTCACCGGATGTCCATCTAACAATTGATGATATAAAAAACTTCTGAAATTATCACTGAATCGTGAATGAGAACATTTAATCTGGGACGTAAAATTAGTTGACTTTAGAATCTTCGATAAAAGTACTTTTCGGGTTATCATTAGTTCTTAAAAATAAGAATTTGGCTGCCATAGAATGTTCAATATGACTAGAAGCATTGCAGTTTAGTTTTTCCCATTATAAAATAAGTAGGCTCCACAAATTTAGTATAAAAAAGTTTTGAAACTTCCAATTATTGTTAACTTTGGACACAGTCTATCTACACATAATTATCTGATTTTGGCTGACCTAAGAGTCGGCTCTTATATATTTGCCCCTAAAATCAACTCCTCTACTTATTTAGCTATAAGTAGGCTTTTTCATAATTAGTGAATCATGAAGTAAAAAGGGAATTCACCTAAAATGAGACAGGATTCGTCAATATTCAATGGCGTCTCAAGGAAATTTCAACCATCAGTCCATGGGTCAAATTAAGTGATGAAGTCCGAGTATGTTCTTAACTATTCGTTTTTACAATCTACTACGTGACTTATTTTTCGTATAGTTCTTAAAAGAGAACTTTGTCAATCAAGACCTAATCATTTGATAGTGGACAATCTTTTCCATAATTCGTAAACTGACCTTAATTGACCTGGACTGCTTTAACAATTACTCTTAGCCTCGAAAAGTACTTGTACCGGAAATTTCTCCCACCAATTGATGGGCTGCCGTTTACGCCCCAACTCGGCAGTTGAGTGAATTTCGGTCTCGCGGGTGTCCGGTCAAAGAGTTCGAGATCCACTTGGAGACAAACAGACAAATGCACAACGCTCCTCTTCCTACCTGACCAATTGTGTGGACGACACGAGCCCGCTTCTCGCTGGACATCTCGCCGACCCGGTAGAAGGTGCTCGGGCTCGGCGAAGGACTCGGACCGGGGCTGGGCTGCGCACTCCTACTGCGCGCTGGAATAGTCACCGGGCCGGGACTTGGTCCCGAGGTGTATATCTGAAGGTGGGGAAAAAAGAGATGCTAGAGAGGAGATGGAGGATTAAATACAGGCGATTGTAACTAAGGAAATGGAGATGAGAGATGGTAGATAGACTATAGGAGTCGGCAAACGGGAGATGAATGATGAGAGATGGACTACTGATAAGTAGTGCTGTCCATTGAATTGAAAAAATAAAATTATGGCTCATCAATGGCAAATCTACCAAATAAATGTGGAAACCATGTCGTCACCGCGACGCAACTGCATTTCATGAAGCAAAGCTGAGGAAAGAAATGCAATGGCATTTTCGGTAGACTCAATTTACTACTGATTAACACTACTTGTTTCGATGTAATCAGGAGCAAAGGCTAACTTCGTTCACCTTTTACAGAAATGAGACTTAGCTTTGATGATGTCCAGGAGTTGGAATAAAAACATTTCTTTCTGTGTTTCCCAGTTTGGAGTATTTGTTTATTTATTCAATCTAACCGACTTATTGGAGTAGTTTCAAAACCTTTTCTGTACGAATTTACTCAAACAATGCAGCCTAAGGGGATAT